CACACACACACACACACACACACAAAACTGATTTTATATATGCGATCCTTAATTATTCAAATTAATAGCTGAAAATATAAAATAGAATAGATAGAATATACATATACTTTTGAAAAAAAAACGAAGAATACTTTAATAAAGATATAGAATTAATATACGTATTATATATTAAAATATTTTAAAGAATCGCTTGACCTCACACCCATACAAACACATACAACACGCACACACATATTTTTACATGAAATATTTTTTAAATTGTTTAGCATCGATTTCAACCTTTCTATGCGTGGCTACAAGTTTTCCATCCGGTCCCCATACGGTGCAGGTGTTGTATAACTTGTTGTTGTCTCTTTCCGGTATCGTACCACCAATTACATAGACATTGTTCTTTCTCGCCGCCTCGGACAACGCCGCGCTCGTCTCACCGTCCGGAATGCTCTCGGCATATTGAGCAAAATGAGCTATATATAAAGTATTTATTTTACGAGACATCAATAACAGTATTATTTCATATATGTATATAAAAAATTACGTCTAGTGCAAAGATTATCTCCATTAAAAATAAATGAAATATTATTTCTTCTACATTATTATATAGATATATCTATACTCTAGCTTCCTCTGTAATCTTCCGCTTTCTTTTATTTCTGACGCAGAAAGATATTTTTAAGCTTTGTAAAAATATTGAAAAAATTTAAAATACCTTGCCATTGTTTCCTGCAACGAATAGCAATGCCAATCAAAGATTTGTTCCAAATTTTAATTTTAGAAAGCTCTTTTTCTGATCCTCAAACAAGGTAATGTAAAATATTTGCCCGAGATATTCTCAACGGCACCGTCGAAATTTGTTGAAAATTATTTCTAGGCAAGTAATTTAAATAAGATAAATGTTATGATCAATATATTCTTTTCATTTACACGTTCCATATGGCGAGTTGAAACATTCGGGCAATGTCACGATGTCAGCTCGCTCTTGTTTCGCGCGCTCGATGAAAGAAACTGCTCGCGAGACGTTTGTTGTCTTGTCATCGCCGACGGATAGTTGCACCAACGCCAAACGCAAGGCTAAAAGTACAATTACAAGTACATATAATTTATATATATATATATATATATATATATATATATATAATACATAATAGGCTGACCAAGGTAGATCGAATGCAGATTAAGTTGAATACTGTTGCACATTAATCGTCATCAACAATTTTGTCGCCTTTATGCGATTACGCGTCAGCTACTTGTTCAACTATCAATAACTATAAGTTATAAAATATCGTAAGATTCGTAAGATGTTAATGCGATTTAATTTAATATGCAACTATATATATTCGAATTCAAAAGGAAATCAATCTGCAGACATCAGACCTCAGAATACGAGTATGACTAAAGTAAACAATCGCTCGTTCAGAGATGTTTGAGTAACATGCAGTAAAACAATAAAAGAATACTGCGTTCTTTAATAGTTTAATATATTAGATGCACTGAAAAATTCGCGTGTCGTAAACAGAAAATAATCGCACACGTACTAGTCATTGTTCTTATAATTCTTATGCCGTACTGTGCAGACACTACAGACTGTGGTACACACGCTCGCAACAGTCGCAACATGACGGCTAGGTTAAGTTTCCTTCTATTTATTTTGATGACGTAAGGAAAACTGCGCGTATTATCTACTATAGATTAGTGGGTCTGTTATGATAAGATAGTGGAATGCATATCTATATAATATTACAGACAGCTTGATAATGGCCATAAGATTTACGAGAAATCGATAATTACGAATGATCGTATTTTCTTACACATATCGAATTATATTTATAATTATAATAAATAATCGAATTATAAGTACTTACAAGTCTTGCGAGAACAAATTATCTTCCATAGTTATCTTACAATTTTGTTTAGAATTGATTTAGATATATATATCTTCCTTGCACTACGTTTAATCAAAATTTTTTTATGCACAGCAGAAAAAGCATTTAATTATAATTTCACATGCAATGATAATCAACAGGATTTATGGCACTTGTAAATATTCAAATCAGGTGATAAATCACTTAAATTATTTATGCCTCCCTTAAACTTCTTTGTCAATTTTTATTTTCATTAAATATATAAATACTTTAAATTCAAAATCATTCAAAAACAAATTTTTTCTCCTTTATTCTATTCAACTTACTATTTATGTTTATAAGATCGACGTAATACAGAATTTTAGTATTAAACTTAATTTGTATAAGCTTTTTTAATCTTACATACCTAGTCTTAGCTTTTCTGCTAGTAAAAAAAAATCTACTCCAGTCTTTAATATAATATTAATCTGAAGAATATCAAAAGGTACAATTGGAAATTTATCTGAAAACGATTAAAGCATATGAAAAAATAAGTTTTATTTAAAAAAAAGAGATAAAAAAATTGTATATGTCAATATAGAACATAAAACATTTATATATGTTATATTGTGATTTATATACATATACATATATGTTATCGTCTACTGGATGATCGAGATCTGTGTTTTTTGAATTTTCTTCTATCGATAGATTCGAAAGATCCTGATATCTTATCCCTTTGTCGTTCCTTAGCTCTTCCTTTGTGCTTCTTGGATTTTTTTGCTCTTTTAGCTCTATCGTTACTACTCGAACGTCTTCGGCTTTTGTTTCTTTTCTTATTGTCACTGTCACTGTCACTGTCACTCTTGATATCAGATAAATCCCTTTGTTGAGTTTTTGATTTTTTACTTGATTTTTTCGATTTGTGTTCGCGATCGTTCTCTTTGTGCTTTCTTTTCCTATCAGATATATCTGAATCGCTGTTATGCTTGTTACTAAAATTTTCCAATGATGTACATTCTCGTTTACTTGCACTTCCTTCCTTTTTCTTATGTTCTTCATATTTAGCAGCATCTGAAATCAGATTCATCGAATACTAAAGACTAAAACTGTAATAATTTTATCTAAGTCAACAAATTATACATACAGGGACTTTTAAAAAGTGACTTTCAAATATATAGTTAAATATAATGTGTATCTCCTTATATATGTAAAAGGAGCTCACTCTGCGCGTACGACATATGCACACAGTATCGGTGTGCGTGCGTGTTTGTGTGTGCATGTTGAAATAAATTTCTCTTTTTTTCGCATGCTACTACTCGTATATAATTGTACAAATTGATATAAAATAAATTTTTGATATATACAGGTACATCAAAAATTTTCTCTTTTGTTGTTCAGTATAAAATAAATACATATAGATTTGTTCGCGTTGCTTGAAATCCCCAAAAATTTTACATTTTAAAGATAAATATTCAGACGTTGGAGAAAAAAAACGTAAAAACTCTCATTGCAAAAAGTGCAAACAACGCAACAAACAGTTATTATAATATTACATTATATTTGAAAATATTTCTTTGCATTATTTCCCGTTTTTCAATTTAATATTGCTACACTTAGAAACTAAGATTCTTAAAATCTTACAAACCCCAAATTGTGGCCCAATTAATTTAAATCTAGTTTACTAATCTGTTTACAAACAAATAGAAAATCATAAAATTTTATAATTACGAAAATATATACTTTTACATGTTTACACATTTAAAAGTCCCTCAAAAGATAACTTGCTTCATTTACTAACTTAGAACTTTAGAATTTTTCGAATATTCCATCTTTGTTACTACTTGAACTATGCATTCATTCACAGAGATGATATTTCCATTTAGTGCCATTTTAACGATTAATCTTCCAGCATCATCAAAGCCCTCTATTTGGCCATATGCATTAGACCGCTTGCCAGCAATGATTTTTATAAAACTTCCTTTCTGTATTCGTAACTCTTCCTCTTCTTTTTGAATTTTTCCGTCCAATTTTTTAACTGCTATCTTGTCTGCACCAAGTCCCATCCCTATTGGCCGTAATTCAGGTACAACAGGTGTTACAAGCCTGTAAATTTGGTATATAAAAATATGAAGGAAAGACAATCATATTCACATGTCCAAAAATACATACTGAAATAAAGATATATAACATTTACACAGGGTACATATAAAATAAAGTTCTTACTTTGGATTTTTACCAATTCCTTCACCAGGTTTCCATCCCATACCTCGTAACATAGCTGAACCAAAGATACTTAGTGGCACTTTCTCATAATCTTCCAATGTACTCTATGTAGAAAAAGATATATAAAATTTTTTATATAATTTAAGTGTGACATAATGTTAATTATTAATATGTCTAATAATCATAAAGAAGTACTCACTTCTTCTGCACCCTTTAAATCCTGTCCCTTAACTACAGATAAAGTTATATTACACAATTCATCTTTATTTTCTTCTATCGAATTGAGATCTTCTATAATTTCTTTTGCTGCTTGCTCATCCAAAATAAGCGTTTTACTTTCAGTGGACAATTCTGTTTTTATTTGCACGTTACAAGAAGAGACAACCTTATTAATTGATATTAAATCACCATTAGATACATTTTTTGGCTCTTCTTTAACTTTGACATTGCATATATTGTCATTGTTTTTCCTTGACTTTGAAGCATCTATTTTATTAATGATTCTATCATGCCAGGTATTAGATTCTAGTAGTGGAATAATAAGAGGTTTTTCTTTTTTCTCTTCTTTCCTAAAACAAACATATTCTTGTTGAGCTTGTCTATATAAAAAATGATAAATTGTATTACAAAGCAATAGTGGAAAAATTAAACTTAATTAGGCTATGTTGTTTTAAGAAACAATCATGCGACATGTACACCTAAGTTGTTACATATAAATTGTAACCATGTTTACTGATTATTAAAATATCTACCAAAGTGACGTTTTATGTTATTAGAAAAAATTAAATTCCATTTATATGCAATTTGCAGAAAGATTAAGCATTGATTCTGTATAATAATTTGATTTAGTCTGATTACAAAAATAAATGCAACAAAGAGAAAAATTAGAATATGTAAAAACAAATATTACAGTTGTAATTTCAAATATTAAAAACTTAACAACTAACTAGGTTAACTCGTAATTAGATCGAAATTGAGGTTATACACCGACATACACTTTCTTTTGTTATCATGACATTTTTTCGACTTACCCAATCACTTTAATCGCTTTTTCATCTAAACATTCTATATAATCCACTTTTTTCTCTTCGTGTAGCTTTTGTTTGTCCAAAATTGATTTTTTTATAGATTTTGCAAAACCAAAAGAAATTTTTTTATTTTCTTCAGCCATTTTCTCTTACAATTTTATTATATTTAAAAAGTTGTACTTCTATTCCCTATGAAATGGACTAGTCACGTTGCATACACTCTCACGAGAGTTTATTAATTTCATTTATTTATATTTTCCGTCAACGTAAATAGGTCAATATTTTCACAAAAACGTTACATTTACAACCGTCAGAACGATAATCTCACGGGCAACAGCGGGCAACGCAATGCAAATGCAACGCGCAATGGCAGGCACTTAAGGGTGACCACTGATCATAGATATAAGTGATATGACGCCGGACGCGGCAACTGCCAAAGGCCCCCCCCCCCCGCC